TCTTCTGCTCTTTACAACAAACAAGGGGGAGAAAAGAAAAGAAAGAAGAGTGGTATTTAGGCGGAACTTGGAGTGTTTGGTGTCATATGTTTTGGAGGGTTGTTTCAGTCACCAGTTAAAAATGGCATCAGTGGAGAGAGTGGAAGGTTCGAGGTGTTTTTCAGCTTAACTGTTTCTTGTAGAATGTTGAGGATGCGGCTGTTCCCGTGTTGAATGGCGTTGTTCAGATATCGTAGGGTTGCTTGCGAGCAGAAGTCGAAGAGTGAATATTAAAATGATCTGCACGCAACAGTAAGAAAATAATAAATGCCTTGTATATAAAGGACACTCTCTTTTTGCACATTTCGTTTAAGACAGCAAAACATGTTCAAGGTATTTGTTATTTTCTTAGTGTTGTGTGCAGATCCCCTAGACGAACATTTTTCTGGTAAGAATCTTATCCGAGTATTATCGGATTCTCACATAAGAAGTCCGCATGAAAATGGCAAGAATTTCGTTCGAATCCGATAGGAATCTAGTAAGATTCAAATAGAAATGAGGTATAACTTTGATAACACGCTCTTATCACTTTCTTATCGCTTCCTTATGAAATTCTTACTAAAAGCCAGGTACCGTTTTATTTTGCAGAAGCACATATCATATAAGCACCACGGATTTCTTCGAAATTTTTTCAAACTTTCTTCAAGGTAGGTAAGACTACTGAATAATCACATCGCAGCTCCAGTGAGTGAGTAGAGAGAGATGAATTCTTCCCAGTTTTATTCTCTTAATGCTGAAACTTTTTTCTTCAATCATTGTGCGTGTGCAAAAAAGGACCTTCACAGAAACTGATTGTAATATAAAGATTATGGCATGATGAGGGCGCTGGGTAGTCGAGAAAAGCTGCAAAAACTAATTGCATCATGTTCTCGAAGAAAAGTTCGAATAAAACATGGTGTAGTTAAGTCTAAAAAACTGTCGTAGAAAATATACTATTAATGTACAACAGTTTCCTTGTGCGATGAGTGCAGCGCTAGCCGATTCGATGCACTTCAGTTTCATCCGATATCTGGTCAGCAGAGTTGTCTATTCTGATCCACAGAAGACTAAAGCAAAGAAGAAAATGCTGAAAAATAACGAAAAATTCTATGATAAGCAAGAGAAATACTCTCATACTTTTTGTTTTTCTTTTCTATCATCTCACTTGAAGAGGAACAGAGACTAATAGTATAGCTAAGTGGACTAAAGAGACGATAAGAAAATATATATTCCTTACGATTCCTGCTCGAATCTTTTTCAAAATTTTAAAAGCGTCTTTTAACTTGATTTTCGGAAGCACGTTGGACTAAAAGCCATGGACACAGAGGTAATCGACCATGCTCATTCCGAATATCGCACTCAACCGGGCTCAAAACGCACTTGAAAATTTTGAAGTCAGATGATATGTCTCGTTGGACATCTTTTCTAAGACGTAAAAATGTTTTTAAACTTGCTCCTGTGGACGTGTAGGCTCAACTGAAGGAAGCACTTGATATATCATTCGATTATGTAAACCTTCCAAGCCACCATTAACTGTTGCCCAGCACTTGAGAAGCTTGTTGTACTTTGCTCCAACGGTTGCTACGAGCATTGACATTTTGGCACGGGTAATTGTAACACTCATTGAGCCAGTTGATCGAGTTTCATCTCGGATGCTAGAAATAACGAAAATCGAACGGCATCGAACGGTTGTTTTACTACGTAACTATCAGTACTTTCTACTTACCCGTCAAACGCTTTTATGATTAATGCAGCTTCAGCAGAATATTTTGCGTTTCCACTATCAAATACTCCATATCCGTGCAACACATTATCTGCTTCATCATGTATCAGTATTTTGTTTTGTGATGCTAAATGTTTTCTAAGCCCTAATAACGATAAATCCGATATGACAGAAGATGCTTCTTGCTCTTGTTCTGCGATCCTGACTGGTTTGAAATAAACATTTGGGAACATCTTTTCAACTTTCATAATTGCTTCTTTAATTACACGAATAGTATTTGATTTACCGGAACCTACAATTGAAAGATGCGGTGGTTAAACATATGTTCATTGGTGGGAAAAGACTCTTTTACCTGATCGACCGATGATAATCGAATATAAGTTAATACATTTTTCTTCAGAGTCAGAATTATAATGTAAAAAGAAACTATTACCACAAAAATGACCAATCATTGTAAGAAAACCAAAAAACGATCCTTCTTCCGTAACATTTGCTCCTTCTTGATATTTTTTAAAAATTTCATGTTGTTCTGATGTTAAAATTTTTGATAAATCAAACTTCAGACCAGCAGCTGCTTTGATATTATCGTTGAGAGTATAATTGATATCTGAAAGCTTGATCATTACAAAATTAATGACAACCTAAAGGAAAAGCAAAAATTGTAAAGTAGTAAATATAAAACAAATGAAGATGCAACAAGCGCGGTATATGCGACAGTAACGTTCCGAATTTGAGAATATTTTGTCTCCGCAACGTTTCAGATAAGCATGACTTGTTGTTAATAGAAAGGAAAAGGTATTTTTACCACTAAAACATCGATGGCGAAAACAAATATGCATGCAGAATTCCAGAAACCTCTAGTGAATTGTATAATACTCTATGAAAAACTGTAGAATTCTTTGCGATTATGGAATACTTGAAATTTCATCCGCAAAAGAACAAGTATGACAAGTGAATATCTGGACCGAAACGAATTTTATGTGAAATAAAAGGAAACGAGCTCTTTTTACAGAAGAAAAGCAGAAATCTAGGAATTTAAGATGCTAGAAAAACTCAGCCGTCATCATAAAGCAATGTCCGGAACCATGGGGAATGCCGTTTGACATAGTGCCCGTGTATGTTGAGATCAGACAGCGCACGGTTTGAAACGGAGTCTTCAAATTGACGCGCAAAATACGATCAAAACTGTAACCCAAACATGGTATATTCGAACACAAGGGTGTATTCAGCACGAACTAGACGGAAAACTTCTACCAGTGCAGTGACTACTTACAAGAAACCTGATCGGTCAAAGCTGATGAAATAGAGCATATTGAAATACTGCTTTCTCTTCTTTCCCATCTTTCGTTCGTTCCGATCGTTCATATATGACGCATAGCTATATTCTTGTACGTACAGAAAAAGAAACCGAACGAAAAAATTTATATGAGACAGAACAGCAAACAAGATATCATAGGTATTTAGGTCTCTAACGTATCTAGGGTATCTTAGGTATCTGGGGTATCCTGCAACTACTTTTCGAACTCATCCACTCTGGGGTATCTAGGGTATGAAGGGTATATAGGGTATCTAGAGGATCTCAGGTATTTAGGTATCTAGGATATCCTAGCAATTTGGAGTATCGTCCTACTACTTTTCGAACTCACTACCAGCATCACCTCCTTCCCCACCCGCCGCATACGAATAATCCTATACATGTGTTTAGTACATCTATATAGAATATAATTCGCTGCGACCTGAAAATGTGACTGCTATATTTGACTTCACAGCGAACCGATACCCTGCATAGCATGCCCAAGATATCTAAGATACCCTAGATACCTCAATACCTGAGATACCCAAATATTTAGCTGTCTTAGGTATTTAGGTATCTGGAGTATCTAGGATATCTAGACTATCTTAGGTATTTAGGTATCTAGGGTATCTTAGTAATTTTTGGTATCGTGCAACTACTTTTGGAACTCACTCTCAGCCTCACCTCCCTGCCCCCGCCCCCGTCGCATACGAATAATCCTGCACATGTGTTTCGTACATCTATATAGTATATAATTCGCTGCGAACTGAAAATGTGACTACTATATTTGAGTTCACAGCTAACTGATACTGTGCATACCATGCCCAAGATATCTAAGATACCCTAGATACCTAAATACCTAAGATAGCTAAATACCTCGAACATTTATTTAACGTAGAAGAATATATATATCCTATACATAATTTATATACGTATGTGTTTAGTGTATATATGTACATGCAGAGTATAATTCGCTGCGAACCGAAAATGCGACTACTACATTTGAGTTCGCAGCGAAGTGATATTATGCGTACTATGAATAATAGTATATTCATAATGATTGATAAATTGAGGCGTAGCGTTATTACTATTAAATATAACAGAAAAGGTAAAAATTCCAGCAGTGAAATTGCCGATGTAATCACTCCTTGAATTTCTGTAATTAATTTGATTAATTGGTGCATCATCCACAATTTTATATTTGGGTTCATTTTTCAAGGTTTGATACTCTGTACGACTGACTTTTTTTTTCTTTTAAATAGTTACAATGCAGATATACCCAAAATATATACAGTACCTTTTTTGTGCTTTGTCCATACGGGCGAGTGAAAAATACCAAAGTATATTAGCGAACGACGAGAAAAACAATCTTCACAGTTTATCTAGTTTTCTTTGACAGATTGTACCAGTCATACTTATCGTGAATAAACTACCTCAAAATTATTATTCGTCTCATACTATAGTAAAGCAGTTGAAAATTTACTTTCGAGATCTTTACTCTTCACTGCTATAACTTTTCACTGTTTTTCATTTCAATATTTTGACATTTTCAACTTCAAGATTTTTACCTTCTCGGTTTTGGATCTTCATGCGAAGACGTACATATTGTGCCGATTCTCAGCTTCATCGTTAAAGTAAACTGTGTTTGGTCTAGACATGAATGAACGTTTATCGTCTCAACAATCTGAATCGGAACAAACTCAAACGCAAACTCAAAAAACAAACTCGAAAAAGCCATGACAGTCATTTAGAATAACTGAACAAGCAAAAAAGATTTTGGCTTTATGTCCAAAAAAATACTGTGATGGTTATGAATAAAGGAATGAAGAGAATCAAAAGGTTTTTTATTGGGCTGGCGCAAGGTAAATATAGCTTCTATCTACTCTTTAATTTGCTCTTCAAAAACTCTTGATGCAAGTATCGTACCTACTAGTTCAGAGATTCATAAAAAGTGTACTTCGAAATATTTTTCTCAACTGTAGAGCCGCTAAAGTGAAAGCTCAATAGGACGTTAGTAAAAAGGGCGTAGCTGAATTAGACAAGATAGAACAAGAACAAAATGAATGAGCAGATTTAGAAAATCAACTCGCATTTCTCCCAGTTAGTACCACACATGGAAATGAATCGTTAATGCAATGGTTGGACGCAGCGACTAGTAATAACAACCAAGTTCCGAGTGGTGCTAATTATATTTCACCCTCAAATGTAAACGATGTGAAAATGGAAGAAGGGGAATTATTGGACAATCTAATGCTTGACTTTCAATGTGTAAATCAAGCTTATACTATCCAACGATCACTACCTCCACCATTGTATCATTCAACACCTATTCGATCTACTTCGGCTTCGAGAATATCAATAAATATGGAAGTCAATCCGAATCCGATAAGAACAGATCTTCCGAATCCTCCATTTGTTATCCAAATCCTCCATTGTTGATGACCCTAAAACGCAATCAGCTTTGTTAGAACTAGTCGTCATATACTGCCCTTATTAATAGTTTAAATAGTATTTGGATATTTTAAGCTTCAACGGAAAACGTGATGCCATTGGCGCCATCAACAGCAGTTCCTCGTCGAATGCCACAGCGACTCATTCCGCCACAGTTAAATATATCTCATCAACGGCAACAACAAATCAATCCTAGTAATCAGCAACAGCAGCAGCGCCGACGAACAAATTTAAATCAACAACAACAGCAGGCTGATCCGGGGCAACAACAAGTGGCACAAAATTCACCTAACGAGACGACTACGGGTATTGGTTATAATCGTTCGGTACGAACGACATTGACAACAACCGTACGTGACTGTTTAACACAATTTCAAAGACTAGTTAATCGTACACATCGAATGTATGACAGAATTGATGACATAATAGATAACATGTAATAAATTAACAAAAGATATTTTTTATTAACAGAAATTCTAAACCAAGTTCTTCTTTTTACTCAGTGATTATATTAAAAGGTAGACTATTAAAGGACTACAGATCCCCAAGAAAGAGTTTTCGTGTAAAAGATGTTTTGCAAAATAATGTCTTTTGAAATATCACAATGGAACTTTAGCTCGAAAAAAGTGTTCCAACATGCATGTTTAATCATATTTACTATTCGATACGTTTTTGCGTGTATATCATAAATCTTACGTTTTTTTCCTGAAAAATATTTATTATTTTTACTGATTCCTGAAGTACACTTCTTGATCTTTCATTCGTTTTCTCTGATCGATTCATGGGTATCCTTGTTATTTTTGATATTAAGTTGTTATTTTTGTTTTGATACTTTCTTATAACTTTGTTTATATGTTTTTGTATAGAAAAGCACACTCGATATTCATACTATTTATAAAACCAGCTTTCTCAATATTCGGAGCTTGATGGGTCCCACTAAGTACTGAATAAGTTTGTAAAGTAAATTACTAATGCGATTTCGATACTAATGTCTGTATTTTTTCTGTAGCCGTAGGAAACAATAAAACACAAACGATAAGTTTCACTAAGTGCTTCATATTTTCACAGCGTGGATAGACAAATTTCAAGGCACAAAGCTCTAATCATCTCAGGTCTAAAAAGACCTTATAATCTTTTGTACTCGTGTTACTAGCAGCATTTATTTTGTTTCTTTCAAACGATCATTGTTGATGACAACGTGTCATACGTTATTGCTTCAACGTGACATGTTTCTTTTCTCTTCTGCCTCATATAAATTTTTCGTTCGGTTTCTTTTTTCTTTACGTACAAGAATGAATATAGCTATGCGTCATATATGAACGATCGGAACGAACGAAAGATGGGAAAGAAATGAAAGCACTATTTCAATCTGCACTAATGATTCCTTTCTTCAGTTGTTCTTTAAAAAAAGGTAATGCGGCTTCTATCTTCTAAGGTAATGTCTTCTGTATACGTTATTATATCTTAAGTTTTATCTCCTTCTCAATTTATACAAGTGTGTCTTATTAATACTATGAAAAGGCAGACAAGGAGAGAAACGAAAAAAAAAATTCTTGAGAATGTTGACTCATCTCCTTGTTATCTCGATCTCTTCTACGAGAAACTTAATATATGTGATATTTTGATCGTTATGGTAAGTAAACTAGAGTGCATTGATTCAAAACATTTCTCAAGGAAAAAAATCTGTTTCAGAAAATGTGTGAGGGAGAGCAGAGGCCGAAAAATTTTGATGACAATTTTTCATTCAAAAAGAATTTATCAAATAGGTAATTCGATGTAGTTCTTCGAAGTTTGGGAACAAAAATATTACAACATTTAAATAAATTCTGAAAAAGCCTCTTATCCCGAACAAGATTTCACACATCATACTTTTTTCCCAAAAAAACTTGCTCAAAGAGCACATAATGCAGGCCTAGATTATCAGAATTTCAACAATCAGCATAAACCGCAGTATGGGCAGCGCGAAAAAAGCCTAACGTTTAAGAAAAGTAGAGATAACGCACAAAACATGAGCGTACAAATAACAAATAAATTAACAAAATGAAGATTTATCACAAAGGAAATTAATATACTAGAAAGAAAAAGAAATCAAATCAGCTGTCAAACTGTTCCTAACGTTTATATTGTTTTCTTTGCGTTTCAAGAATTGCTAAGCTAGAAACGTAGAAGAAATAAACTGCATATACGAAAACTTTAAATTTCATTACCTCATATAATTCCTCATTTCTTTCCTTCTCTGAAAGAACCCAATAACAGACATACAATCAATATATATCCTCAAACGAAGTACAAATTCCTATTTATGCGATACGTCTCTTTTGGGTCATATATGTTAATCAAGAAGTATGTCGCTTGACAAACGAATATTTTTGCCTCAACTCCAAAAAGAGGTACACTTATAAAGTGCGGAATCTATATAACTATTTTATTTCCATCATAATTGCTTTGCTGCATTAAGTCAAAACACTTCTCAAGGAAAAAAACCTGTTTCAAAAAATGCGTCAGGGACAGCAGAGTTACCCCAAGAAAAGAACACAAAAAGCAGAGTTCACTTCTTTCGTTTCTTCTTTTTTCCTGCACAAAATCAATAAAAATCACTGTTTCGGTCATTCTATCCCAGCATTCTCGTGGGACTACTTTTGACTGTAGTTTTCCACCTTTCGCGGCAAACAATGAAGACTAATAAATTAGCTGCTAATAACACTTAAAAATCTTCAAATACAAGATCCAATTATTGTCGAGAATGAGTTTCGTTTGCTTTTTTTCCATGTATAACAGTGGCCTAAGCATCAGTTAAACTAAATTGCCACTAAAGCGATGCATCTTACATACGTGGTTTCTTACATCTCCATCGGCCACTTATATAGGTGTCTTTAGCAGTGCTACAAGAAGGCAGTGCATGAGAGAAAGAAACAAGAGAAACAGAATACTTGAGAATGTTGACTGATAGAACTTTAATCTAGTTTTCTACTAGAAAAAGTTCGTAGTTGTTATATTCGTGTTTGTTGACATGCACAACTGTGTTAGACTACTTAAAAATAAACGTCTCAGAAAGAATCCTTCTTCTGACAACGCACTTCTTATATGGAATTCATTTCTCTTTTATTTAGCCACCGTACTCTACCAGTAACTTAAACTATTAGTTATGACTACAAGAAGAATTAATAGATGGAAAAGAATGCAGTATACGTTTGTAATCGGAAGCTGGCACAGCT